CCGCCACCAGCAGCACCGCCGCCGCCACGCGCGCTGGCGTGACTCCCGGCCCGCGGCCTCCCACGCCTGCTGCCGGCTCGGCTTCCTGCCCGCCCAGACGCCGCTTCTCCCGGCCTCCCGGCCTCGGCTCCGCGGAGGGAGAGGAAATGAGTGCGGCGTCGGCGTCGGCGCCCGAGCGGGGTTGGAAGAGCGAGAAAGTGGACGAGGCTCAGGCCCTGGCGCGGAGTTGCGCTGCCCGCAGACCCGACTTCCAGCCGTGCGACGGGCTTTCCATCTGTGCCACGCACAGCCACGGCAAGTGCTTCAAGCTGCACTGGTGCTGTCACCTAGGATGGTGTCACTGTAAGTCGAGCCGCGTCTCCCCGCCTTCCGCCACCGTCCCGGGGCGCTCGCGAGGCTGTCCGGGTCGCGGCTGGGACTCTGCGGCCCCGGGGGCTCGGGGCTCGGCCGGGGTTGCTCTTTTGATGGTTGGGGCCACCGTGGGCTCCGGGCGGGCGCTGACCTGGCGCCGGACGCCTCTGCTGGCGCTGCCTTGGCAACGAGATGAAATCCCATGGGGAGCCTATAGCTTTAGCCACTTCTACAAAAGGGGATCTCCCCGTCCCAGGAAAACTGGAATCTATTTTTGTTTCTTTTTCTTTTTTTTTATTTGAACTGACCAGGCAGTGTGCTGAGAAATGGTAGAGCGCCGTCAGAGTTGACAGCCAGAGGGGAAGCCTTTTTTCAGGGCTGGTGGTTAAACGTGCTCTCCTTTCTTTCTCACTTTTGTCTTTTCCAGGCTGCTCTTTAGAAGAAAGAGCCCTTGGTAATCGAATTGTGGCCCATTTATTGTATCCAAATTGAGAAAGCGCTGAAGTGTAAGGGACAGCTTAATAATACTACTAAGAAGTTAGTATTAACAGTTTGGAAGGATGAACTCTTTCAATACCCAGTTGTAGCATATAGAGCCAATATAGGAGACTGTTTTAAAATTACAAAATAAAATGAATGAAAGTAAGCTTTAATGATATTAAACCAATTTATAAAAGCCAGAACTAAATGGGCTAGGCCTTTTCTCTATGTTTATCTTGCCTGTGTTTTTTTTAAATGGATTAAACTTAAGTAGCCATTTAATCAGAATTCCACAATTTGATTAGTTCATGGTATTAGGTCTGCTATATCCAATAAATCGTTTTTTAAAGAAATATGTTATAAACTTAGTTTCCACATACCCTTATAATGGAGGTTTTTGGCATGTTTATTCAGGACACAAATTCTCAAAGTGATCTTAAGTTAAAATTGTTTTTTCCTTGTTGGTTAGAAAAAAATGGCTCCCAACAAGAGATGCAGTACACTGACAAGTCCTTGTTTACGTTAATTGAACATAGTGAGATATTTTTAAATTGAGTTTATGACTTAAAGGATAGAGAATTCCTACATTTTCTTTACATTGAACAATATTGATTTTTGTGTGTGTGTTCTGTGTCCTGATGGTTCAGTTTCTTCATGTATTTCATTATTCCTATTGCTCTCAGATCCGTTCCCCATTATAAAGCATCATTTCAGTGGGGGACAGGGTACAAAGTTGGAAGTAGCAACTGTAGGAAACCTGTGATGCTGAAGTGCACAAGTACGGTGAATCTGGTGAGAGTCCATTTCCTAGGGAAATAGAGAGTCCTAGTATAGAATACGAGGAACATTAAAGATGGTCAGTTCAGTGCCTGTCTTTTTAAGCAGCCTCTCCACTAAGTACAACATCCCTGATGGGAACCTTGCATTCTTCTCAGGAAGCTTCTTAAGACATCTTTGATTCTTAAAATACTCTCATATGGAGCTGAAATCAGTTACTTTCTAACTTCTTTCCATGGGTCTTATTTCTACCTTACGAAATCATATAGAACAGTCTCATCCTTTTTCAGAACATGGCTTTTTCAGCTCTTCAGATAAGCATATGAATATTCCACAGATATAGACTATCTTCTCTCTGTATGCCCAGACATTGTCACAGTGTCTGGCCTGAACTAGATTTGAAATTCATGTTCATTGAGTGACTCAATGAAAGTAGCCATCATTTTCCTCTCAAGGCATTGTTTTGTCCTATTTATAAATCTCTGTTCCCTCCTGCCTCTCCTTTTGTGGAGTGGTATCCAGGGTCCTGAGCATCCTGGTTGTTCTGTTCTGAACATGTGCCAATATGGTTATGATCCTTTGAAGACTGTGACCCTCCCTTAGAAGGATACACAACATCCCATTTGTGGTCGGATCAGTCCAGCATCGAGCAGGACTGCTGCCTCCCATGTTTGAGATACTGCTACTGCTGCATCTAGCATCACATTAGCTTTTCTGAAATCCTCATCATACTGAGCTTGCTGCTGTCAGATTGAAGTAAGACTGCTGTCAATTAAAGTCATTAAGCCCCTTTTTTGTTTGTTTTACGTATGTGTCAATTAAGTCATGGGACTTGCTCATCTCACAGTTCTATATGTATTTTTTTTTTTTTTGGACACTGATTGATACCTTAGATATTTTTCCCTATTAAATTTCATCTTAATTAGAATTAGCCCATTTATCTGGCTTATCACTGTTTTTTCAGATCCCAGCTCTTTTTTTTTTTTTTTTAAGATTTTATTTATTTATTTGAGAGAGAGAGAATGAGAGAGAGGGGGGAGGGTCAGAGGGAGAAACAGACTCCCTGCCGAGCAGGGAGCCCGATGCGGGACTCGATCCCGGGACTCCAGGATCATGACCTGAGCCGAAGGCAGTCGCTTAACCAACTGAGCCACCCAGGCGCCCCCACCTCTTTCTTAATACATATTTGTGCCACCTAGTTTCATGTCAACCATATATTGGGTGAAGGCAGTAGTATAGTAGCCTTTTGCATCTTCATTCAAATTATTGATGACATTTTTGACTAGGAGAGGGACACAGAGAGGCATCCTGAACCTTGTGGGTAGAACAGACCTTCAAGTTGATGGCACTTCATTAAGAAACACTCCTTGTTATGATCATGCAAATAATTAGCTGGCACTTAGTTGTACTGTTATCCACCTTATATTTATCTTTTTTTTTTTTTAAAGATTTTATTTATTTATTTGAGAGAGAGAATGAGATAGAGAGCATGAGAGGGGGGAGGGTCAGAGAGAGAGGCAGACTCCCCGCCGAGCAGGGAGCCCGACGCGGGACTCGATCCCAGGACTCCGGGATCACGACCCGAGCCGAAGGCAGTCGCTTAACCAACTGAGCCACCCAGGCGCCCCACCTTATATTTATCTTAACCATATGGTGTAATGAGAGCCTGGTCATATACATTGTTGAAATCCTACCTTGTTGAAATCTGATACTATTTTTATTGCTTCTTTTTGGTATAAGTCTATCTATAAAGACATTCTTTAAAAAAAAAAAAAAAAGGAAATTAGATTAGTCTGGTTACTTAAGTTGGTTCCACAAATGCTTACCATTTTTGTTTCAAAGGGATTAGAAGCTGTTTTTTAAATAAATAATCTGAATTTAGGAAAGGATTGATGCCAAGCATACTGGACTATTTTGTTGTCAATTCTGTTCTTTTCTCTTTTATTCTTTATTTTTAAAACAAAGCAGATCTACATTTATTTGCTTGTTTCCGGTCTTTGGCAACCCTCCAGGTCTCCATGCTTCCTCCACTAGCGGTGATTCAGTGATCACATTCACGAGGAGCTTCATTTCATTTAGAGCAGCAAGGTGCTCTGTTACAGTCTTCTCACCTATACTGGGAATCAATTCTTTCTACCCTTTTTTAGTCCAAATACCGTTTTTCTTGGGGGAAAAAAAAAAAAAAGCAGAGTTCACACATTTGAGAAGTTCTGCTTTCTTTTTGGCACTCATGAACATTACAACATCAGTCCTAAGCAAAATTCTTTTAATTCTGTTGAACGTGTATTGAGCACCTTCTCTTTGTGAGACATTATTATGGAAACTAGGGATACAAATATTAATACAGCTGGGTCATGCCTTCTAAGCAGAGTATAAGGACATGATTCATGCTGTATTTAGTTTTGTATTCCTTTAAAATCACAATGATATGGGTGAAAAAACGATCAGCTTGTTCACCAAATGAGAAAATGCTGAAATGAGAGGACCACTTTGATACTTGAGAGAGGTATTTCAGAACAAATGAAGAAAGTTCAGCTATATATGATTTATGTTAAAGTTGTGAAATTCATAACCTTATGAAATAGAAAAGGTTGATAATATATACATGTTTATAAAAGATATATAAAACATGTATACATAGATGTGGTACTTGTATTATTAAAGGAAATAGTTTATTTGGATAATGGCAGATTTTGAGGACTATTTCTGGGAGGAAAACTATGAAATGTTCTTTAGGTGTCGCTGTCAGAGATTATTGGGTTAAATAAACTGTGGCCCTGAATATGTAACTTTTTTTTCCCCCATAAGGAGTGATATTGGATGGAATTAATGAGTGAAGGATTCCAAGAGGAATTTTGAGAGAAAAAAAAGACATGACTTGTCTAGGGAAGAGGGATTGGAAAAAATAAATCATATGCAGATATCATAAAGTAGATTTTGTGGCTAGAGCAAGTAGAATATTTAGAAGGCATAATACATTAGACTGTTGAGATGTAAGGGGGGGATGAACAGGAAAGGTGAGAAGTCTGAAGTTTCAGTTGATAGAGACCTTAACATTATAGTAATAATATGGGCAGTAGAGGAATGAAACTAGCAAGGGAGATTATTTTGGTATTAGTGTAAAAGATAGATAGAAATTCATACAATAATATCCATAAATGGAAATTGGAATAGATTAGATTTAGAGAGGGAGGAAGAGGAAAGTTATAAAGGATAACTTCTAGACTTCCGCCTAATGCTCCTTGGATGGGTGGTGGTGCCATTCATTCACTAACAACACAAAATACTAGAGATGAACTAGGGTTTGACTGAACATGGATTGTGAATCCAGTTTTGAATAATGAATCCAGAGAGACCATGAATTCAGTTTTGGATCTATTGAGTTTAAGCTGCCTTGTCATCACATGGTAATGTCAGTAGGCAGTTGGGTATAGGGATCTAGAACTTAGAGGAGAGGTCTGCACTAAAGATAATATGGAAGTCATTTACTTATTTTTAGATTGTAGTTGTGGCCATGATGAAGCAAGAAGACCACCAAGGGAGAGACTATAGTATGAGAAATGAAAATCCTTAGGCTTTCCCTTTAAAACACTAATATTTAGAGTGTTGGGTATAGGATGAACTCGCAGTAGAGTCTAAGAAGAAATGCGAGAGAAGAAAAATGTGGAAGGTGGTTTTTTTTTTTTTTGCAGATTTTATTGCAGAAGCCAAGGGAAATGAGTGTCTTAAGAAAG